CCCTATATCATAGAAAAAGAGAGGAGTCAAGAAAGATATTTTTCTCATCTTTCTCTAGTCCCTCATAACTTATTTTTAACACCTCATAAACATCTGCAAGGGAAGACTTTTGAAATCTCTTCAAGGTCATTTCCCATTTTTCTATGCTCAATTCACGAACGGAATGCGTCCAGGGTAATCCACTGCCTGTTTTGATAGCTTTGTGTGAGCTGACATGGGAGGCTCTCCTTCATCAAATGCTATCAATTTAAAATGAGCGAGCGATTCCTCATCATTCAACTGCTCAACCTGGTATACACATTTTTCGACATCATTGATATCTTTTTGCCTATCTTTAACTTTCCTGAGCACCTTTAGATCTCTTGTTGTTTTGAGAATTCTACTTCCACAAGCAAAGAGATTACCATCACCAACTAAATGCTCTAACTGCTTTGATTTACTTACATCGTCGAAAACAATAAGAACCATTGTACATTTGAGCCTCCTTTTGTAATTTCTCTAATCCCCTGACGTTTTTGAGAAAGCAACAACTTTCAAAGTGAGAAAAGATTTGACCATATACTACATATACCAAGTTAAGTAACAAAAAACGTAAAATTATACTAAAACAAAATCAAACAAAAATAAACTAAATTAAAATACAAAAAATTAAACTAAAAAAGACATTAAAATCTCAAGACTCTAGCCAATTTAAATGCACAAAAAGTTGTGAAATAACTCTATTTTGTATAGTTATCAATAGCGCTCCGAAGCACTCCTCATTTTACTGATAACGAAACGACAATCAGATAAATTCTAGTGGTTAAAAACAATTCTAAAGCCACCATATCTATTTCGGAATATTGATTATTTTGTAAAGATATGAGAATGGAACCATCACTTTAATTAACTTGTCTTGGACTTTTTCATAATCTTGAGGTTGATCGATGAAAGCTATATCTGTCTATATAGATTCATTTTTTCCTCTTGGGAGTTGGTTTCTACTTCATGAAGATTACTCTAATGATACACCTGGTTTTCTTTTTTAGTAATTTAGTCAAACTTAATCCCACTTTAAGGGGAATATATATATATATATATATATATATAT